ACATACCCGCCGCCACAAATGGTCCCACCATCAAATCACATCAACGAATACGCGAATTATGTCGGTAATAATGCTGGAGGCTATTCTAACCAAACTTATCCCGGGCTTCAGGTTCTCCCAAAGCCCCACAATGGCTATTCCAACGTGCTGCAGATTCCTAATCAATCGTACCAACACAGCAACATGCAGGGTGGAGTACAGCAATACGGCATGACACCTGTGAGCACTGTCCAGCAGCAACAGGCCATGTACACAGACTCTCCGGTTGATACGAATACCACGCCATTTCCTTCTTACTATCCACAAGACCCACAGGGGCTAGCGACTGAGGTGCCTGGCATGAGTTTCGATAGCAGCAACGAAATACATTACCAGCAGGGCAGCACTTATCCCGCCATGTCGTACCCAGCGGCACAACACAACTACGATTACTCGCATCAGCAATAGAGATTATAGCTGGGCCTGAAGGGCGTTTGCGTTTCGCCAACTCTGATTTCAGTTTAGAGAGTTATTTTTGGGGGGGCTTGTTTTTGGCAATGTTTCTTTTACGATATCCATTCGTGCGCTGGAGGGTAAATTTGTGTTCATCAAGCGAGCTAGGCTTAAACGTGTGGAGATAGCTACTGTCCCTATTTTTTCAGATGAGCTGCTTTGTACATTGCGTAGGATAATGGTACAATAGTAAGCTTGAATGGCTCCTAGACATGCACGGTTCGATCCCACTGTACTACGTGGGAGCGTTTCCATTTGGAACTCGTGACAATTGAGTGTTTGTAGCGGGTGACGTGCGAAGCGCAAAGATGGAAAGAAAGCCGCAACCAAGTGGGCTCATATCGCATTCTCACTTGTGCAGGACGCCACGGCGCCGTGCCCACCACCATGACCACGGGCCGTATGCACAGCGAAGCGGCAGAGTCCTCTATGCTCAAACATGGCGATTAATCTATCGAGGCTACCCATCCCATGCGTGTGGTCCCACGCACGAGAGCGGCATGCAACATCCGCGCGGTCGCCCAGTCCGAGTTTGACCAAGTGATTGGCTGAACAGGTTGGAGGACCTCTCTCAACACGGGCAGGTTTACACAGCCCCCACCGACCCCGGCGGTCATTGAGTCCTCCATCTGCAATTCGCACAGACGTTTGGGTGGTGCATATACTTCGCGCTAAGTGAAGCTGCAGGAGGCAGAAGAGGGCAAAAGAGGGCAACGGTTGCCTTGGAGGAGCCGGGAGGCCGCCCATATCGTCACCATCTCCGTCATCATCGCACCGCCATGACTTTTTGATTGCGATAACCATCGCGATGGGATGGAGCTACAGCGTCGCCCATCAATTCTAGAATCCCAGTCGGATCGGCATTTCTGTGCATCTTTCCTGACACGGCGCCACGAGGGGGGAATCGGCGTCTCGGTGTGCAAGCCTGCCTATTCCTTCTTTCTCCTTACCGGTATACCAGTAGGCAGTGCAGGTCCGTGCATTAGGAGAGTTCGAAACGGAGGACCTCTAGGGCACCAAGACGTCTCTTGCACCACCTTGTTGGATAGTGCACAACATTGAGGGGCGGCCGAGTGGCGTGCTGCATTTACTAATGCGCACACCTGTGCCTTTTTTCCTTTACGAAATCTTGCGTACTGTGTACTTTCAGGCAAGCCTCAGGCCGCTCCAGCAGGCTGAACACTTGGATTGAGGTATGTTTTGGATCCGGTTCAACGAGGCCTCCTATGTCGTTTATGCATGTTCAAGTTTACACCCTTTGGTTCAACACCGTTCCACTTCATCTAAGGAGCGGCCAACAAAAACACAACACGTCGATGCCTCAGGCAACCATTTAGCAGGCTGACTCGTGGTAGCAGACATGTCCCAATACTACTCTGGCAGAAGCTACCAGCAGCCCTTCGACTCGGCTTTCAACCATATAGAACATCGCTACAATGGTTCAGTGCCTCGGCTTCACATCAGCACTGCAGAACAGACAGAGCCATGGAATCTGTCACAGCGCCCACGAAGCGTGCAAGATATGAGAGAACAGGCATACAGCCCAGCTACGTCGGTACATACCACGAAAACTACTTCCGGTACGCTGCTACCACAGGGAATGATCTATCATCACTCAGATCTGTCTGCGGCACACAACAGTCTCAGTCTCGGTCTACAGAGTAGCTCGTCTTTGCTCACTCCCAGCTATGGTTCTTCTACATTCAACCCAGCTACACAGGAGGATTCATGGAGTTTGTTCAATCTCCGAAGCGCTGAAAATAGACGGCCCCGCTACGCATCGCGCCAGTCCAATGTTGAATCGCCGCGCTATCCTCGCAACGGACTTCAGGGTAAAGGTGTTGTGCCTTCTGATGATGGCTACTTCTCAGTCAAAACAAGCCAATCAGCACTTGGTAACGAGGCTGATTGCTCCAGCCAAAGCTTGCCAGTAGATTTCTACAACCGAATTGAAAACATGAATGTCGAATCCGTGGCTAGTATTCCAACAGGAGTGTCAACTGTACCCTCGGATCAAATCTCTCGTGTTAGCAGCACGCGTAGCCGTAAGTCAACAAGAAAGTCGATCAAGTGTGATCAGGCCGGATGTGGTGAGACATTCAAATGTAATTCCGAGTACAAGTGAGTAGGTTTTGGTTCTATTAATACCGACAGCGCTGAGTTCCAAACAGGAAGCATCAGCTTAAGCATGAAAAGCCATTCACGTGCGACGTACCCAAATGCAAAAGGGCTTCCCAAGGATTTACCACATCGAACGATCTGGATCGACACAAGAAGAGTGTTCACCAAGTAGATTTCAACAACGGATCTTACAGGTGTGTAGGCAAAAATTGTAAGAACAAAGAAAAGATATGGCCACGTCTGGACAATTTCAAACAGCACGTTACAAGAATGCATCAAGACGAAGATGAAACAGATATAATTGAGAGGTAATACTCTGTGGTTGGATGTTCTATCTGACAAGCTAACGTTGGTAGATCGAAGTTGAACCCTGAAAAACGTCCCTCCTTGATGAATCAGGAGCCTGCAGATGCACACATGGACGCCAACTTGCTGGCTGGCATGGATAAGTCCTTCCCACTTAGCCCAACGACGGGTAATTCATCTCCCCTTGACCTTTCAATGAAACGAGACCATGAGCGCTGGTCGTCAATTGATCTGAGCCTAAGTCCTCCCAAGGATGAACACCAAACAATGCATTTTTCAGGAGACAATTCTTTTGTAACACGACCTGCGCATTTTCCTGGACAGCGTCGTGGCCAACGCCGAGCACCGGGGCTGTCGTTAGCTCAGCAAACACAAATCCCTCCCCCTGCCGATGTGTCCACGGATATTGCACCAATAGAAACAATCTCGCAGGCTCCTCTGTCCGATATGGACTACGGGTTCTCCAATGCACCTCAGACAAAGGCCGAGCAACAACGAATGGCACAGAGAAAGCCCGCTGCTGTGTCTTCCCCTTCTAGTTCTTTAGAGATTGGCCATATCTTAAACATCCTACACCAAGGAAGTAGTTCAGCAAAACGAGTTGAGACATTGGCTGAAAACATACAGCCAGGTTCGGACACTCAATCTGACACGGATCCAGTAGTCTTGACTAGACTTGATGCTTTGCAAATCATCAAGTTTATCACACAGAGCACAGACATTGCTCAGGCGGCGCCGTGTAAGGCTGAAAAAAGTCAGACGGCAGGCCTGAGAGTCTGTCCGCGTCCTGGATGCGGGTATGCCGTCAACCGGGATTGTGATTTACGGAAACATATGAAACGGCATGAGAGGCCCTATGGCTGTACGTATCCCAGGTGCCATAAGCGCTTTGGCGCGAAATCAGATTGGAAACGCCACGAAAATAGCCAACACTTCCAGCCTGAGGTGTTCCGATGTGCTTTTGAACTATCTCCCGGTGCGATTTGTGGAGTGTATTCACCTCAAAAGGAAGCATTCGAAATCCACTTGAAGACACATGGCGTTTCTTCTCCTGGAGCCGCAGAGATTCTCAACACACGCAGCAAGATTGGGAAGAATTGTCAAGGGTCCTTTTGGTGTGGCTTTTGTAAAGCTATCATTGAGCTCAAGACGAGGCTCAATGCGGCATGGGACGAACGATTCGATCACATAGCAGAGCACTTGGAACAAGACAACAAAAAGAGCATTGAGGAGTGGATATGTGTCGAGCAGAACAAAACCAAGAAGGAGTTGCTCGAGGAGAGGATGCGAAATGATGACGAAGATGAAGAGAGGGGAAAGAATAATGACTGCGATCATCCGCTTCCACCTCCGCCTCCCCCACTAGAACGCGGACCTTGGACCCCGACATCGACCGGTGCGGGCTTATCACAATCATTACCCTCATATTCTAGTAATGAGGGTAACAGAAAACGATCTGCACCTAACAATGCTGATGACCTGGATCCAAGAAGCAAGCAAAAAAGGAGAACGACTACTATTACGAACAGATATTGCGTATGTCCATGGCACACCACGTCCATACTTTATTGTTGATCGCTAATTGTAGAGCAGTGCTGTTGTCAAGGCGGACCATGCAGCTCACTTCAGCTTTCATGCCTAGACTGTGGCCATGAACTATGTTGGAATTGTAAGTTGATTACAGAGGAGTTTGCAATGGTGGATTCAATGGAACTCTATTAGTGGTGTTGGGCAGGGGCCCGGATGTTGATTTGCGGCGCTTTATTCCCCCTCAAAAACGATGGATAGATTTCTTTTACTGTTTTTTATTTATTTCCTCTATTCAAATGTAGACTCCAAAAATCGAATAGTGCTTTGATTTGATCAAGTGGCTCGTGGTCCATAATCAAGGGCAAGGGGTGAACATGCGGAGGTGTCAGGATAGCATGGGCGATGACATGCGTGTCGGCGAAACAAAGTGCCGAGGCGCGGAGTTGGAAACGTGTGCTCTATCACGATAGCTCTCATCGTTGACGCGGCCCATTGCGACCACCAACCACTCCTTGACCTCTCTCTTTTTTTTTCTGCTTTCACCTGCAAACATGGCTGCCGCCGTAGACGACGGGCAGTTCCTCAAGCAGGCGACTGGTCGAAACACTCGAGGCTTGCTGCGAGTGATTATCCTGTGCCTGATTGCGGGTGCGGCCGTGAGCAGCCGTCTGTTCTCAGTGATTCGCTTCGAGAGCATCATCCATGAATGTCAGTAGTGATGCAATTCGCATGCCACCCGGGCAATTGCATCGAGTCTGGGCTGACCAATTGACACAGTCGATCCCTGGTTCAATTTCAGGGCAACAAAGTATCTCGTTCAGCATGGCTTCTACAGCTTCTGGGACTGGTTCGACGACCGTACGCTCTTCTCCGTGCTGCAAGTAACTCAGAACAACACAGACTGACACGATATCACAGGAACATGGCACCCGCTGGGCCGAGTTACTGGTGGCACCCTCTACCCCGGATTGATGGTCACCAGCGGCGTCATCTACCACTTCCTCCGCGCCATTGCCCTCCCCGTCGACATTCGTAACATCTGTGTCCTCCTGGCCCCCGCCTTCTCCGGCCTCACTGCGCTGGCTACATACCTCCTGACATCGGAAATGGTACCCTCGCCCTCGGCTGGTCTGCTTGCGGCCGCCTTCATGGGCATCTCACCCGGTTACATTTCGCGATCCGTGGCCGGAAGTTACGACAACGAGGCCATTGCCATCTTCCTTCTCGTCTTTACCTTCTTCCTGTGGATTAAGGCTGTCAAGATTGGTTCCATATTCTGGGGTGCATTGACTGCCCTGTTCTACGGATACATGGTGTCAGCGTGGGGTGGATACGTCTTCATCACAAACTTGTTGCCTCTGCACGCTTTCGTCCTCATCTGTATGGGACGATACAGCCCAAGGCTGTACGTCAGCTACACTTCGTGGTACGCCCTGGGCACGCTTGCGAGTATGCAGATTCCCTTTGTCGGTTTCCTGCCCATCCGCAGTAGCGAGCACATGTCGGCTCTTGGTGTCTTTGGTCTCCTCCAGCTTGTCGCATTCGTCGACTGGGTCCGCGCACAACTTCCAGGCAAGCAGTTCCAGACGCTTCTTCGCGCACTGGTTCTGGGTGTCTTCGTCATTGGCGTCGGAGGTCTGGTGCTTTTGACCGTCTCAGGTGTCATCGCGCCCTGGACTGGCCGTTTCTACTCGCTCTGGGACACTGGATACGCCAAGATCCACATTCCCATTATCGCATCCGTCTCCGAGCACCAGCCTACTGCCTGGCCCGCGTTCTTCTTCGATCTCAACATGATGATTTGGCTCTTCCCTGCTGGTGTCTACCTGTGCTTCCGCACTTTGACCGACGAGCAAGTCTTCATTGTCATCTACGCTGTCCTTGCCAGTTACTTTGCTGGTGTCATGGTCCGTCTCATGCTTACTCTGACTCCCATTGTTTGTGTTGCATCTGCCATTGCCTTTTCCCAGATCCTTGACACCTTCCTGGACGCCAAGACGCCCAAGCCCAAGACCGAGAAGGAGAGTGCCGATGTGGCTTCAGTTGCAGCGGCAGCAGTGCTCCCAGACGGCCTCCGATCCACCCGCAGCCCCTGGGTTGGTATTTACTCATATGCCTCCAAGCTCACTGTTGTCGGTTCCTCCGCCATCTACCTTGTGATTTTTGTTCTTCACTGCACTTGGGTCACCTCAAATGCGTACTCGTCGCCCTCAGTCGTGCTCGCGTCCCGTACCCCCGATGGTCACCAACACATCATTGATGATTACCGTGAGGCGTACTACTGGCTCAGGCAGAACACTCCCCAAGATGCAAAGGTCATGGCGTGGTGGGATTATGGTTACCAGATTGGTGGCATGGCTGACCGCCCTACGCTCGTTGACAACAACACGTGGAACAACACACACATTGCTACCGTTGGTAAGGCCATGAGCTCCAGCGAGGAGGTCAGCTACCCGATTATGCGCCAGCATGAAGTTGACTACGTCTTGGTAGTCTTTGGTGGTCTTCTTGGCTACTCCGGAGACGACATCAACAAGTTCTTGTGGATGGTCAGGATTGCCGAGGGTATCTGGCCCGAGGAGGTCAAGGAGCGCAGCTTCTTCACATCGCGAGGTGAATACCGTGTTGACGAACAAGCTACACCAGCCATGAAGAACAGTTTGATGTAAGTTGCCTGGCTCATGGTTTTGAATATTACATACTGACTGCTTCCCCAGGTACAAGATGTCATACTACAACTACAATGCGCTTTTCCCTGCAGGTCAAGCACAGGACCGTGTCCGTAACGCGCGTCTGCCTGCTCAAGGTCCGGAGCTTAGCACCATTGAGGAGGCCTTCACCAGTGAGAACTGGATCATCAGGATTTACAAGGTCAAGGACCTCGACAACTTTGGTCGTGACCACCAAAGCGCGGTTTCCTTTGACAAGGGCCACAAGAAGAAGCGCTCTACAAAGAGGAAGGGTCCCAGGGTACTGAGAGTGGAGTAGGTGGTCCAAAAAAACGTAAGAACTTTGATAGAAACTTAGTTGCTGTATAACATAACACATTTCTGGCATGATTCGCAGGGCGGGCGTTTGGCAGGAATAAAAAATATTAGCCACCAGTTTCCGAAATGGCCAGTTGAATTGTATCAGTTGGAGTTGGGTCTCAATTGACGTACACGTTTTGTATTGTGCACGCGGTCTTCACCACATTGTCTTTCACTCCTCATTTCCCCTCACCGGGCAGATTAAATTTGATTGGGTCATCCACACTTTCTCTTACTCTCACCACTCACTCTAAAGTTTCTGCCTGATTCTCTTTCTGCTTTGCTTTGCTGTATCGTGCTTTCCGTGCCGCGCAGGCTTGACTTGCATTGGCTGCAACTGCTCAACGATATTTCCTTACTCCTCAACCTGCACAGGCGCACCTGCCACGGAGCACCAGATGGCGAACGAAGAACAGAGAAGAGCTTTCGAGTCGTATATGGGCCGCGCGAATAGCGACAACGGGCAAGTTCAGAATCCAAGCCAGCCTCTTCCTCAGTATCCTGGATCAGTTGCTCAGCCGGGCAATCCGTATGTTTATCAAGTGTAAGTGGACCTCTATATTTTGGTACTGAAGATTGACTAACAAGCGACTGTAGGAGTTGTTGTCATGGACTTCCTGGTCTGGTATCATACAGTATCACTGCTCACACACAAGTAGCAATTCCCTGGGCTCGGAGTGCCCCCTGCAGTGCCGACGCCGCCACCGGCAGCCTCGTCTTCTGTCGCTTCGTTTCCAGGGTACCAAGGCGGATATTCTCAACAAAACTATGGGCTAGCGTTATACGGTCCAAACGGTATTCCGCGACGTCCGCCGCCACTAGGTGATCCTCAAGCACAGCAACAGCAAGGGCAGCAACATACGCCAACTGGAAGCGGATTTCAAGGACACGTTCAAAGGTCTGAAAGCTATAGCATACAGCCTCCGCCCCCATTGAGCCATAGCGGGTGGCCATACAACCATCCAGATAGCGGAATGGCCAGTCGTCACGATGGTCCAATCGTAGGTGCCGTCATCCCAGCATCTCGCAGCCACACTCAAGAGATGGTACGATCAAGTTCGAGACACAGGAGGGAAGAGTATCATTATCATAATCGTGACTCGGCTCAGGTGGCTCAAGCGCCGCTAGTAGAAGAAGTGGTCGTGCCAGTTATGCTCTGTCATACCTGCAGTCACTGTGGTCAGATGCGCTCTGCAGGCTTCCATCGAAATAACCCAGTAGTCCCCGGCAAGCCTTTGGTTTCTACGCCGTGCCGCAGATGCAAGAAGAAACTCGACAACTTCTATCGGTCGAGCAGTCGTTATACTCGCATTCGCAAGTGCACAGCCGACGAGCCCTGCGATTGGCCTAGCGAGCCATTCCGAGTCGACGCTGGACAAGATGAGTCTAGAGGTAGACGAAGAAGTAGAGAGGAGGTTTGTATGAACAGATACTCTCCAAGTCGACCCCGGGTGTTAAGACGCGAGTCCAGCGTAGCACATCTGGGTTTAGGAGCATTCCAGCAGGCATCAAGAAACGAACGAGTAGCTCGGAGATCCTCATCTAGTCCTGGCCATTCTACCAGGTACACTGGCGGGGTATGGCCCCCACCTGACATTGTACGCATGGAGCGAAAGCGGGTTGATGATGCGTTCTCTATACCATTTGGGCCACCTTTAGGCTATGCAGCGAAGTCAGACGAAGTATGGCCTCCTCCAGACATTGTTCGGACCCATTTGTATAGGGACGTGGAGAGGAAATCACTACGTCGGCAGAGTTCTAGGATTATCGAACTCAGTCCTTCTCCTCCTCCTCCGCCCTCTCGGCAAAGATCAACCAGAGTCGTCTATCGTAGCGATTCGCAAGAACACCGACGTAGAAGTACAAGCATATCACCTTCTCGCGTCAGATCTCGCGGAGAAAGGCGAAGTGAAGAAGCAGAATCTCGTCTCACAACACACACCCTGCCATTTCGAACAGTCATTTCAGACCGCCAACGTACCTCTTTCCGCGCGTCGGACGAGACTTGTAGCAATGCTGATTCGGTACCCCGTCAACCTCCAGAATCACCAACTTATAGCATCTTGAAACCTGGCAACCCTGACCATCACGACACGACATCCCAACGACGAGCCAGCATGCGCGCAAGCGAGCAAAGCGTGCACGTCGAGGTTGAAGGACCCCCTCGTGTCCGATTCAGCGGTGAGCGAAGAGAGAAACTGTCAGACCTGGAACCGACCCGAAGATCAAGATACGAAGATGAACATGAATCCAGCAAAAAGAAGTCCGAGTATTACCGTGACCATTCTCGTGATCGCGTACAGTACAAACCCCGACCTCGACCACGCCCAAACCAAGACTTTGAAAAAGTCCAAACGAGGTACTGCTCTCCAGTACGTGATAGAGACTATGAAGAAGAAATCCGAGTGGACAAGCAACGTCGTATCTCGCCCTCCCCATCTCCTCTCCCAAGAAGAAGCAGAGAGTACGAGGAGATCCGCGTGCGACACGTTTCTCCTCTACCCACTCGCCGCTCATCTCACCAGCACTCCGATCGTGCCACCTCACCCCCACTACCGCCTATATACCGCCATGTCTCGCGCACCGCGGCATTAGATGGCAAACGCTCGGTCATATCTCCCCCACCTCCTCCGCCTGCGGACTCTAGAGACGAAGACCACACGGATTGCAGTAGTGCGGGTGAGGGCGATGTAACGCTGGTGACGAGGTCGTGGAAGGGCATCGATGAAAATGGGAGGCCGGCGACGTTTGTGGAGGAGAGAAGGGAGGTCAAGATGCTTGCGGAGGGGAGTGAGCGGGGTGGTGTTGCGAGTGGGTATCGGGATTTGGGGTATGGGAAGCGGGTTGGTGGTGCTGGGAAGGTGTGGAGGGATGTTTGAATAGATGGGGGATTGCAAATGTCGGGGACTGGACTGGAGACGGGAGGGAAGTTCATGGTGGTTTTAGCTGTATTCTAAGAAGACAAAAAAAAACACAGGGTTCATCATGGTTTTAATTTTCTTTTCCAATTGTATCAAGTCTCTCAAGTGAATAAGAAAGAAAAAAACGAACTGGACACCTACTACCCTTCACACCGTATCCAAAACCCGACTCTGCAACGAACACAAATCGACAACCATAGCTACACCTGCTACCTCCTTTGCACTCTCCTCCAGGCGCTCCTTGACAAGAGCTTCAGTCGCAGCATCAGCCTCGGCTGCCACCTTGGCCCACGCAGCGGCCTCCTTGGAACCGCCAGCAGAAGGCAACAAGTGGCTTTCGCCCGAGAGCCGTACCAGGGCTTCCTGTGCGTCTTGGTCTGCGGCGGCGAGGTGGGCGGTGAGGTGGACCGTGCGCTGGGTGAGTGCGCGCTCGGTGGTTGCAATGTGTGCGAGGGGAGGGAGGTAAGTGAAAAGTTTGGATATGGGGTTAATTGGTTTCGAAGAGGTAGATACCGTGTTTGCGTTTACGGGCGTTGGTGGAGAGACGGCGTTGTTGTCGTTTGTCGAAGAGTCGTTTTCTTCTGCATTTGGTGCTGGTGCAGGGTTCTGGAGACTGAGATGCGCTTCTAGGAGATTGGCTCGGGCGGCGGTGTATTTGTCGTATGATGCTTGGATTTTTGCTGTTGCTGAGGCACGGTCGATTGCGGAATGGGTTGTGTCGGGTGCAGCAGCTGCAGTGCCGTTCCTGACTGGACGCTTGATGGGTGAGGCGTCTTCGAGGAAAATGCTTTCTTCCTCGAGCTTGGCCAGTTCCCCCTGTATCCAGTCTACAAGTTCATTTCTTGCTTGTTCGAGAGCGTAGACTTGTGATTGGAGAGTTGTCGACGGGGCACTGGGTGCTGTGTCTTGTGCTTTTGTTTTGGCGGCTTGAGCTCGCTCCATGCTTGCTCTTGCCTCCAGAACTTCTTGCTTCAGTTTGAAAATCGATACTTGGTCGTCTTCGGCCTGGAAAAGATTATCCAGACGCTCTGCAGGGACATCAGGTTGCTCGCCAATTGCGCGCTTGACTAAATCTCGGGGATCTGAGGAGGGCGTGGAGGGCTTTGCGCTGAGAAGTTTTTCCAGAGATTCTTGAATGACCTGAAGCTCTGCATGCCGGCGGCGCTGCCGCAGTAGAAAAACATAACCTTGGGTGACATTGTCGTCGTGCTCGGGTTCCGGTTGGGTGGGATTGTCGTCCACGTGACGAGTCCGTAGCTGTTCCAGCGAAGCCTGGAGCTCATTGTGTTTTGCTTGTGCTTTGGCGCGAGCCCGAAGCGCTTGAAGGTATTCAAGACGACTATCCTTCAGGCCAGGAGGATTCGTGTTGGCTGCAGACAGGTTCTGGGGACACTCATGGTTCAGGTGCTGGAGTTGGGTTGATGCATTGACTGGCCGCAGGGTGGATGTCAAGTATTTTGATAGCGTACGTCGAATGCGTAGTGTATCTTGGCGAGAATTGACGTAGGCGGACAATGCTCGGTCAACCTCTGAAATCGGGCACGCCGTCTGGGCTGGCATTGGACTCGAGTTTGGTCAAAGCCCCGGAATGGGGATTGACGTAGTGGTGGAAATGACAGAGGAGGGAGAGAATGCTATTCGAGGAGTTGTATGCGGCTGAGTAGCCACGGCCGCAGCTTTGACCTGTGTCACGATGCTTTTCAAGTTGGGTTTGCGGTATTAGGACAACGCAACGACTGGCGGTGTTTAGGTGGGTTGGCGGGGCTAGGCCGTAATTGGCTGAGCGTGTCCTGCTAGCGCAGATCACGAAAACACGTGCTTTGGGGCTTGGCGCATGTGCATAGAACGATTGCTTGAGCATTGATGGCGGGCAAAAGCATAAACGCAGAAAAAGGCCCGAGTTGTGCTTTTTGGTGGGCGAACGCAAAGAGGGGAATGCATATGGGTGGGAAGAGGGAGGGTCGAGCTAGTTTTCCGGTGGCACGGTTGCTTTGGGGTGTTCGCTCGTTATTACCAGGAGGGTATTCACAGATGGAAG